TTAAGGTATCTGCTTTAGTTTCTTGCATTAAGGGCAACAAATGCTAGCTAGTTTTTTAGGTGTCTTACCTATCCTCACCCCTCCCTTGTGTGCTCTCACTTTTATCATGTGCTCATAGTCCAATCCCCTTGTTGTGTTTGCCCTTGATCTAATGTCCACATATGAGGGAGAACATACGATTTTTGGTCTTTTGCCAGGCTAACCTCACTCAGAATGATGTTCTCCAATTCCATCCATTTACCAGCGAATGATAACATTTCGTTCTTCTTCATGGCTGCATAAAATTCCATTGTGTATAGATACCACATTTTCTTAATCCATTCGTCAGTGTGGGCATCTTGGCTGTTTCCATAACTTGGCTATTGTGAATAGTGCCGCAATAAACATGGATGTGCAGGTGCCTCTGGAGTAACAGTCTTTTGGGTATATCCCCAAGAGTGGTATTGCTGGATCAAATGGTAGATCGATGTCCAGCTTTTTAAGTAGCCTCCAAATTTTTTTCCAGAGTGGTTGTACTAGTCTACATTCCACCAACAGTGTAAGAGGTTCCTTTTTCCCCGCATCCTCGCCAACACCTGTTGTTGTGGTGCTGATGATGGCTATTCTAACAGGGGTGAGGTGGAATCTTAGTGTGGTTTTAATTTGCATTTCCTTTATTGCTAGAGATGGTGAGCATTTTTTCATGTGTTTCTGGCCATTTGAATTTCTTCTTTTGAGAAAGTTCTGTTTAGTTCACCTGCCCATTTCTTTATTGGTTCATTAGTTTGGGAGAATTTAGTTTTTTAAGTTCCCTGTATATTCTGGTTATCAGTCCTTTGTCTGATGTATAGTTGGCAAATATTTTCTCCCACTCTGTGGGTGTTCTCTTCAGTTTAGAGACCATTTCTTTTGATGAACAGAAGCTTTTAGTTTTAGAGGTCCCATTTATCTATGCTATCTCTTAGTTGCTGTGCTGCTGGGGTTTCATTGAGAAAGTTCTTACCTATACCTACTAACTCCAGAGTATTTCCTACTCTTTCTTGTATCAACTTAAGAGTTTGGGTCTGATATTAAGATCCTTGATCCATTTTGAGTTAATCTTGGTATAGGGTGATATACATGGATCTAGTTTCAGTTTTTTGCAGACTGCTAACCAGTTTTCCCAGCAGTTTTTGTTGAAGAGGCTGCTATTTCTCCATCGTATATTTTTAGCTCCTTTGTCAAAGATAAGTTGCTTATAGTTGTGCGGCTTCATATCTGGATCCTCTATTCTGTTCCACTGGTCTTCATGTCTGTTTTTGTGCCAGTACCATGCTGTTTTTATTTATTGCTTTGTAATATAGTTTGAAGTCAGGTATTGTGATTACCTCCTGCATTGTTCTTTTGACTGAGTATTGCCTTGGCTATTCGTGCCTCTTGTGTTTCCATATAAATTTAACAGTAGATTTTTCAATCTCTTTGATGAATGTCATTGGAATTTTGATGGGAATTGCATTAAACATGTAGATTACTTTTGGGAGTATCGACATTTTTACTATGTTGATTCTACCAATCCATGAGCATGGGAGATCTCTCCACTTTCTATAGTCTTCCTCAATCTCTTTCTTCAGAAGTGTATAGTTTTCCTTGTAGAGGTCTTTCACATCTTTTGTTAGGTTTACACCTAGGTATTTGATTTTTTTTGAGGCTATTGTAAATGGAATTGTTGAAAATACTAGATTTTTAATGCTCTCATTTCTCTGCTGTTTGTTTCCTTCAAGTTTTTTCCACCCAATTTCTTTTCAATCATGATATGAGTTTTCTGTGGTGTATTTAGTAGTGCAGTTCAAAATAGTTTTGTACTACTAGTCAACTGCGACTTTGCAATGAAGTGATTCAGTTGTGCCATTTCATTGCTGAAACTTACTTATGTAGGGCTGTTGATATAGCCAAAGAAAACTCCCAGATTCCTGCCTGAAAAGTATACCTATGTCTTGGGAGCCATAAATGGTGAGGTTCTCACATTCAGTATATAAAGTTTGATTTAATTTTATGTTGTTAGTATGGTATCCCTATTATCAGCTTTACTTGGCATCCACCTGTCAGGGCCCCTCTGTTTTTTGTTTTGTTTTGTTTTTTTTTCTTTTTTCTTTTCTCTGCAGTACTGGGGCTTGAAATCCGAGCTTACACCTTGAACCACTCCGCCAGCCATTTTTTGTGATGGGATTTTTTCAAGATAGGGTCTCACGAACTATTTGTCAACACTGGCGTCAGAGTGCCATCCTCCTGATCTCTGCCTGAGTAGCTAGAATTATAGGTGTGAGCCACTGGCACCCAGAAGGACCCCTCTGTTTTATTATTTTTAGTTGACTAGTGTGAGAAAAGGAGTAAAATCTGGGCGTTATAACTGCCCTTTGAAAAGACATTCAACTAATCATCCTTTTTCACCTTTACTTTCAGTGTCACTTATGAAGACACTTTGTACCACCAGTTCCAGAATCTACAAAGGAATTCTGCTGAACACATCTTAGCCTTTCTTTGGTGACTTAGAATTCACTTTTCTTACTATGTTAAGGCAGTGACTGTTTTCTGCTTTCCACCTTTCAAGTCATTTTGTTTTTTTCTGACCTTTGATTTTATTCCTTCTTTTAAATAATCCCTTTATTTTTCCTTTTACTGGAGTTTCTAGGGAGATAAATACATTCATATATTCATTTTTATGTTGCCATTACATTTTACAATTATCATTCCCGTAACAGTTGTTATTAACAGGATATTCCTGGGATTCTGGAATCACAACAGTTGGAAACATGCTGTATACACTGGCTGTGACCAGTGTTGTATGTTTTAATAAACTCTCCAGGTAATTCTGATGCTTGCTACAGTGCAAGAACCTCTGAACTTAATTGGATTCAAAGCTTTCCACTAGTTTCTTTTTATCATGGCTTCTTACTATTGTTTAGTGTCATCTCCTAATTGACCATATTTTGTCATCTAGAAGCTCTCTCAAGAAAGATTTATGAGTGTTGAAATTCCTGAGATTATATATGAAATCCCAAAGCTTTGGAGACATTTTGGACTTGTAGATAGTATGCCCATTTTCTTCAGAGTTTTGTAGTTATTACTCCATTGTGTTCTGTCTTATGTTAGCTTGGTATCCACCCCCTTCCAACATAGTATGTATGTGTAGGCAACATAGTTCTTCTGCTTGAGTATCTTAGTTTTTATTTATTTTTGAAGTTAACCTGATATTTATGGAGCTTAAATATTGTGTCACTTTTTCTCCTGTCTTAAAAATAGTGTGTTCTTTTGATTTACATATTTATTTATCTAAGGTCCTCCTTTTGATATTCTTTTACTTTATTTAGAGGCTAATTTAAGGATACCACTTAAATTTGTGATATGTTTTCTTTGCATATTAGTTTTTATATGTTCATTTTTGTTACTTTTTTAAAAAAGAGATAATTTGCATGCCCTTTTAATTATACAGTTCCATGTGTTTTGACAAATGTTATAAATCACATAATCACAATAGAGCACTCATCAACCTAAGAAATTCAACTTTCCCATCTTTAGCAACTCTTTTCTCTCAGTAGGGTTTTTGCCTTTCTAGAATGTCATAAATAGAATCAGAGCTTATAGACACTGAGTCTACCTTCTTTTAGTTAACAGTTTGAGATTCATGTAAATTCATATATTCATATATATGAATACAATTCATATATGAATTCATACAATTCACATATTTATTAACAGTCTGTCAATTTTTATTGTGGCATAGCATTCCATTGCTTGGATTGTATCACAGCTTGTCCATTTACCACTTAAGGATGTTTCTAGGTTTTGGTGATAACAAAGATTCCGTAAGCATTCCCATGAAGGATTTTTGTGTGACTATAAATTCTTATTTTGCTTGAGTAAATATCTAGGGGTGGAATTCCTGGATTAGATGTTAAGTGTATGTTTGATTTATAAGATGCTGCCAAACTGATTTTTAAAAGAACTATTATCATTTTTTATTCCACCACAAATTAATACTTACCGTTGCTGTGCATACTTGTCAGAAGTTGGTCCTAACGTGTCTGTACTAGTGTCTCATTATTTTAATGTGCATTTACCTAATAACTAATGATACTGAATAGTTTTTGTTGTTGTCCTTATATCTTTGGTAAAATATGTGTTTTAGTGTTTTGCCTCCAGCCCCCACCCCCACCGTGTGTTGTGTGTGTGTGGTGTGTGTGTGTGTGTGTGTGTGTGTGTGTGTGTTGGGTAATTTTCAAGATAGGGTCTTGCATACTTGCTGGGGCTGGTTTCTAACTGAGATCCTTCTAATCTCTGCTTCCTGACTAGCTAAGATTTGTAGCCACCAGCACCCAGCTTTGTTGAGTTTTTTAATTGGCTTGTTTTCTTACTGAGTTCCTTTTATATTCCAGATTTATCAGATACCTGCTTTGCAAATGTTTTCAAATCAGTGGCTTGCCTTTTTATTTTCTTTATGGTGTCTTAATTAATGAGGCACACTTTATCAATTTTTTGTGGTTGTGTTTTGTACTAGAGGAGATTTTGAACTTAATTACAGATGTGACCCAGTGGCACCCAACTTAATGTTGTTTTTTTTTTGATTTGCTAACATTTTGATAATTTTTATGTTGATGTTCATTGAGGACATTGGTCTCTTTCTTATTAATAATGTCTTTGGATTTAGTAATTCTGGCCCATGTTTGAAGAAAGAAAAAAGTAACATATTTACCATTTCCATTGTTACTCTTTCCTTGTGTGTATATCCAGATTTCTGATAGTTTTCCTTTTTTTAAAAGATTTGCTTCAACATTTCTGTTAGTTTACTTTGTTAAATTGGATTCTCTTACTTTTCCTGAAAAATGTCTTTATTTTGCCTTAAATTTGAACGGTGTTTTCACTGAGTAGAAAATTCTATGTTTGTACTTTTTTTCTTTCAGTACTGACTTTGTGTCCTGAAATGTTTATTGTAAGTGTAATTTTGTTACTTAGGTTAATTTTGGTTGTTTCTGATTATTTCTCTACCTTTGTTATTTTAGGTAATTTTGTAAATTTTGCTCAGTATGGAGTTCAAGAATTTCTTTTGCTTGACTTTGCCCTAAAAGATAAGTTACTCAGTTTTAAAGTTTGTAGATAATATATATGAACTAAGTACTTTTTGTCCCTTTGTAGTTTCAGTCTTATTTTTTCTATTTTATATTTTTACAAGTAGAATGTAAATTTTCATTATTTTAAATGATACTGATTTTTAATAATGTTCTTTTTTCCCAGATTCCATGCTTGTGTGGTAGTGCCCCATGTTTGCTGTGTCGATGCTGTCCTAGTGGAAACAACTCCACTGTGACTAGATTAATCTATGCACTTTTCTTGCTTGTTGGAGTGTGTGTAGCTTGTGTAATGTTGATACCGGGCATGGAAGAACAACTGAATAAGGTTAGTTTTTATTCTTGTTTACTAATGAACTGAAACTATAGAATTTGCATAAAACTAATTTGGGGAGATTGAATAGAGAAAAATATAACAAGATAATATGTAATCCTAATTTTAATAGCTCATAATCTTTTAGGAAATAAAAATAGATAGCCATTTTGTATCCTCACATGGTAGAGAGAGAGAAGCAGTCTCTTCTGTCTCTTATCAATCTCCTGTCTTTTATAAATGCTCTAATCCCATCATGCTGTCTCTATCAGAATCTAATTAATTCCCAAAGACCCTACTTTCTAATACCATCCCATTGGAGGTTAGGGTTTCAGCATATGAATTTTGGGCAGGCATTTGTCCATAACAGTGGAAGTCCATAACAATATATTTTGAGCACGAAGTAGAAGACATGAGTATATATATAGCCCAGAGAGAAACAACAGGTACAGTTTGTCTTGGGGAGAGACGAATGTTGAAACCATGTCAACATGTGCTAAAGGAATTCAGAGAGAGCTGTGCTGGAAGTTCTGTCAAAAGCTCTTGCTTAAGAGATATAGCAGGGAAAGAACAACCTCTTTTTTTTCCCCTCAGTACTGGGGTTTGAACTCAGGGTCTGTACCTTGTGCCATTCCACCAGTCCTTTTTTGCAATGGGTTTTTTCCAAGGGTCTCGAGAGCTCAAAAATTGGCTTGGGCTGGCTTCGAACCTCTATCCTCCTGATCTCTGCCTCTGAGTAGCTAGGATTACAGGTGTGAGCCACTGGTGCACAGCTGAAAAGAACCACCTCTGAAGGAACAAGGAGAAGGAATAATGTTTAGGAAGAGTTTTAAGAATAACAGGATAGTGTCTGTATAAAAAAGATTAAGGAATATGCAGACTAAGAAATTGCTTTTAGATTTGACAATTAGAACACAACTATGTCCAAAGGACAGTTTCTTTAGAATGCCAGGGCTAGGAGTGGGAGGAAATAATTCATTCACATACATATGAATAATATATGTAGTTCTAAACATAAGCGATTATCTCACATAAAAATTCTTTTTTGCACTCTGATTACAATGTGACTTTTTCTTTATTGGTCCTGGGGATCCAACCCAAAACCTCACTTAATGTAAGGTGCACACTATGCCACTGACCAACACTCCCAGCTCCTTACAATGTAACTTTCTGAAATGGTCATGGATCCTTTTTGAGATTCTTCATTGAAATATAAAACTAGTGTCAGCATATATGTTGTTAAGTCAAATCCATTCATGACCAAATAGCACCTGTAGAATAAAGGTTCAAAAGTCAAAAGGGATTTAAGTAGCATTAATTTTCAATGCATTATTACTTTCTTTCATTCTTAGAAACAGATTTAGTTACTATACAATTCTTTAAGCTTCTATTGGCTTTTTCTTTTCTTTATAGAGGCCATTCAGTATATCACAGTAGAATGCAAAGTTTAAAAATTTAGAAGAGGAATAGGGGAGTGGCTCAAGTGAACCACACTTGAATAAATCCCCAGGACCACCCCCACAAAAGAAAGAATTAAAATAAATCTACAATTCAGAATAAGCATCCAGTTTAGAATTGACATTGTAAGTTTATCATTTGCTCACGTAAAATTCAACTTTTTTTCATTTTATCTGATTAAAACGTGTTGCCATACCTTGATTGACATGTTCATAAACTATAGAGCAAACATCCAAACTTTTAGCTAAACTTTGATTACATAGAATTTTCATTTTTACTTAATGGAAAAATACCAATCATAAAGTCATTTTGTTTTTTTAGATTCCTGGGTTTTGTGAGAATGAGAAAGGTGTTGTTCCTTGCAATATTCTGGTTGGCTACAAAGCTGTATATCGTTTGTGCTTTGGCTTGGCTATGTTTTATCTTCTTCTGTCTTTGCTAATGATCAAAGTGAAGAGCAGCAGTGACCCGAGAGCTGCAGTACACAATGGGTAAGTTTACCAACCTCAGCATAAAAGTCTGCATAACCTCTTCTCAGTAATTCTGAAACTACTTAAGGAAACTTTAAAGCAAAATAGACTTTCCATAATTTGTCTGTTGATAAATAAGGTAAGAAAATCCTATTGTTTCTAAAAGAGACATCAGATTGGGCTATTTATTGCATTACCTCTGATTTATACTGTTTTATATTTCATCTTTAAAAGAGGATCTATACATCTGTAACTACTAAAGGAAGAACCATAAACCCTTTGCCTTCTAGCTTTTTAGTGGACCAGTCCTATTGTATAGACCTTGCAATTTTCTAGACCTACAGTGTAGACAAAATGGAAAACTTTATTCCTAAATAGGTTATTGATTTTATAAATGATTGTACTGGGCACCTTAGAAAGAAGTTTAATTCTTTATTCTGTCAGTCTCCTTTATTATGTAAGACCACATCTGTTACACTTTATTTCATTGTTTTGATGTGGATGTTTTAAATTTTATCTATTTTATTTTTTCCCACATATTAATATCTACTGTTGCTTGTCTGGTTACCAAGGACAGAACACCTAAACAAATGATACAGTAATACTAATGAAAAAATGTGATGTAACAGATTTAATCTATTTTGTCTTTTACTTAGTGGTTATTTTAAATCATTACTTTGGATGGAGGCATTTGTTAAAAGTATATGTATTTATTAAAATTATTCATTTGTGAAATGAAAATGCACTTTATACCATCACATATTACCCAGCTTACTATGTAAAATAAACCTGTGAAATGGAACCAATATTTTCATATGAATTAGTGACAAATACATCTTTCTTGAAACTATATTAAAAGCAGTTTGTATAATAGACTTTACTAGATATTCCTAGAAAGAACAGTTGCATAAACTGTAGCTGTTCTTTAAAATATTTCATATATGAAATTGTTTGTTGGAAGAGTATATAGTAGTAAAAATTGTATTTGTTTTAGATTCTGGTTCTTTAAATTTGCTGCAGCAATTGCAATTATTATTGGGGCATTCTTCATTCCAGAAGGAACTTTTACAACTGGTAAGAATTTTTTTTTTCATTCTTTTTTTTTTAAGATTAGGATGTATTCCTTGTACAGGGGGGATTCATTGTGACAATTCCAGAGAGGCTTACATTGTACATTGGTTAGATCACCCATCATCTCTCCCCCTCAACCCCTTCCCTGTCCCCCCTTAAAGCTATTGCAGTAGCTTAAATAAAATAAAATTTTGTTTTTGTGTGGTGAGATTGTGAAAAGGAAATAATATAAACTAAGCTGGCCCTCACTTGTTATTTGTACTGTTTTTTTCTTTCAGTGTGGTTTTATGTAGGCATGGCAGGTGCCTTTTGTTTCATCCTCATTCAACTAGTCTTACTTATTGATTTTGCCCATTCTTGGAATGAATCATGGGTTGAAAAAATGGAAGAAGGGAATTCAAGATGTTGGTATGCAGGTAAGTTTTACTTCACAGAACGTACTCAATATAGTTGAGCTTTGTTGAGAACAGATAGCATAGACTATAGGGGAATCACTTGGGATTTTTATGGTTTAATACCTTGTGAAGAGTATTCTGTAAAAAAAGAACCTAAAAGAACCTGAATAGTTAAAATGTTTTAAAGCCTGTTGCTGAAAGCATATACATTTTGTAGCCTAATTCTTAGCCTATAGCAGATTAAAAGTAAAATTTTAAGCGGGAGAGAACAACTGGCAATCAACGTACAGTGAACAATTCATAAAAAGCAACAAATAAAAAGTATAAAAACTTGGGAGAGTTTATAAAGGATCCCTTTATGTAGATCACTAATACTAAGGGGATTCCCATGGTAGTGTAATTAATGTTTCTTTATAATAACAAGTTTGAATCCAGTGGTTATACTGTAAAACATGGATCAAAATCCAGGAGATAAATAGTGAACAAAAGTGGGGGAGAAGAATGGAGTTAAGTACATCTCAGTCCTTGTGCAAATAGTAGGGACTATGATGAGTTGGAGAGTGTGTGCCTTGTTTAAAGTCCATAGTTACTGCTCAGCTCCATCCATTAGTTGTCCTGTGGAAATGAGAACTCATTATTGCTGGAGTTTCTCTTTTCAAAAGAAGCTGTAAATATGGATTTTTATGTAAAATAATATAGATTACAGATAACAGCAACAACAAAAAATTTAAAAAGGAATGCCAAATTCAATGAAAATGTTGGCCTGATATTTCTCTTTCACAGCTACTTTCTGGTATTCAGTTCTAAAGAAATACGAACTAGTCATTTGGGAGTTAACTCACATAGCGTCATTCTTGGTGTGAAATCTAATGCAGCGATTTTTGCCTATTTTGTTCACTGCTGTATCCCCAGGGCCTCGGATGATGTAGGCATTGAAGTGCTTTGACTTTGTATTGTGGTATTGCGGATTAAACCCAGGGCCTTGTACATGGTAGGCAAGTACTCTACCACTGAACCCTATCCCCGGCCTTGGATGTAGGCAATGAATAGGAGTTGTTGGATTCATCCCCTGTCAATAAGACAAATCTACATAAATAGTTATATATTGAGCACATATTAGCACAAAGACAATGCACATCATATATGTTGAAATTTATGCAAAAGCAACTTAGGTTGTCTTATTAAATAATGATTTACCTGTCATATTTATTTTTAAAGATTTTAGTTGAGGAATAGCATCATTATTTTATGGGTGACAGTGAAAATAGTTTTGTCTCTCAATGCCCTTGTTTACATCTGGAATGATTGTAGTTTAAGATCCTTAAGTAATATTCTTCTAGGTATTTTTATTTTTAAAATAATGCCTGTATCAAATGTGGTTACTTTGTAAGTGCTGTAATATTCCTACTAATAAAAATCATATTAGTATGATACTAGCTTATTGTCTTTGAAAATATATAGTAGTGAGCTGTGTATAAAAAAAGCTATAGAATTCGCCAGTGATACAACTCAAAATTTTCTTCCCTGCTGTGTAGCTTGCACACAGTCTGCACAATGCATAGTGCATAAGAAAAATAACAGATCAATTTTAAAAGAAGTTCCATGTCTAATTTTAACATTTGTGATAAATCTAATTGTTCAATTATATTTCTTTCACAGCCTTATTGTCAGCCACAGCTCTGAATTATCTGCTGTCTTTAGTTGCCATCATCTTGTTCTTTGTCTACTATACTCATCCAGCCAGTTGTTCAGAAAATAAGGCGTTCATCAGTGTTAACATGCTCCTCTGCATTGGTGCTTCTGTAATGTCTATACTGCCAAAAATCCAAGTATGTTCTTCATAGCACTAGTTTTTATGAAGTTTTACCTTTCTCAGTTTTCATAAATCTTGAATGATGTCAGAATATATACCTATGTTTCTTAATCTTAATATTTTGTCTGTAGGAGTCACAACCAAGATCTGGTTTGTTACAGTCTTCAGTAATTACAGTCTACACGATGTATTTGACATGGTCTGCTATGACAAATGAACCAGGTATTTTCTGTTTACATTTGTTTCTAATCAGTCCTGCTGTATTCTTTTTTATTGGTCAGTTTGAGAGATTAAGCTATTTTGAAATTATGATACTATAATAAGATATGGAAATAGTACCATTTCATCTTTTAAGTATTATATTTATTTTTGTGGTACTGGAGTTTGAACTCCGGGCCTTAAGCTTGCTAGGCAGGCTCTGTACCACATAACTATGCCCCCAGTGCTATTTTTGTTTTCAATTATTTTTTTGAATAGGCTCTATTGTTTCTTCCTGGGCTGGGCTGGACTGTGATCCTTGTCCTCTGGATCACAGGCATGCACAGCCATGTCCAACTTTTATTGGTTGAAAGAGTCTCACAAATTTTTACTCAGGCTGGTCTCTCCCCATAATCCTGATCTTAACCTCTGATTAGCTAGGATTTTAGGCAGGAGCCACTCTGCCCTGTAGTTACTATTTTTTCCACTTAATTTCTTCCTTCCCTAACAAAATTACAAGATAAGAAATTATATGAAAATTACTTGACATACATTTAATTTGCATAATGCATAGTTATATATAGGAAGAAATAAAATCTAAAATTTTTCTTGATTTGTGATTTTCCACATTATTAATAATTCTTTTTGTCTATGACCATCCTTGCAATTGAACATGATAATTAGGCCTCATAATGAATGTCTTCATAATAAGGTCAGTTATATTGCATTTCTTGAGAATAGAAACATACATTTTTTTGGGGGGGAAGAAATTACTGTTTTTAGAAAAGGAAGTATATGTTCTCTTTCCCTTTGAAATAATAAATAAATATATATATATACACACACACAAACGTGTGTGGGGGGAACATATAAAATATGTTCTCTGAGTGATATATTAAATTTACACATTGCTTAAATGCTTTATCACTTGTAGATAGGGATGTTTTTATTGTATTAGAGAAAGATTCACTTTTTCCAATTAAATGGTTATTAAAAGTTAATAATTTGAGTTTAGGGCCTTATCTGATTTTTCTTTAATAAGATAGAGATTGACAGACCTGACTTTGGGAGGAAAAAAAAAATGCATATTTTAGGTAATTTAATGAATTCCAGTCCTCCTTTCTTTCTTACAAAACAGTAAAGTAATTGAATAAGCATTAGGTCATTAGGCCTTATGTGATTTCCACAAGCATCTGCTGTTGGTTTTATGTGTAAACTATGGTTTTTTTTTGTTTGTTTGTTTGTTTGTTTTTTTTTTTTTGTAGGACTGGGGTTTGAATTCAGGGCTTTTGTGCTTGCAAAAGCAAGTGCTCTACCACTTGAGCCACACCTCTAGTCCATGTTGCTTTGGTTACTTTGGAAATGGGGTCTTACAAACTATTTGCCTGGGCTGGCCTTGAACCACATTGCTCCAGATCTCAGCCTCCCAAGCAGCTAAGATTGGGAGCCATCAGCACCCAGCTCTGTCTTGCAACAGCATACACGCTGATAAACTTCATAAAGTCAGTATTGTTATTCTACAATATATGGTAGAAAAATGAATGTATGTGGTTTAGAACATCTGAATTTATTTCTCTCTTTGCTAGGATTTTACTAACTTTACATCTGACTCTTACCCATTTCCTGATCAGTGAAGTGCTTGTATCTCTTAGCTTTCACATAAGGTTGAAAAGAAAGTAATTTAACTTTTTCAAGCACTTCTCTAAAATTAGTACTATAAAACCTGAGGGAAAAAATATGCCTAAGGTCTCATTATTAATAAATATAAATTACTTCACAGTTTGTATTTTTTTGAACGAACCTTTTTGAATTTGTAAGGATATGAGTTAAATGTGCCATAAAAAAAATAAAAATTTTCCTTTATCCTAATATTTTAATTTGACTTTAACTTACTTTACAGAAACAAATTGCAACCCAAGTCTACTAAGCATAATTGGCTTCAATACCACAAGCACAATCCCAAAAGAAGGTCAGTCTGTCCAGTGGTGGCATGCTCAAGGAATTATAGGACTAATCCTCTTTTTATTGTGTGTGTTTTATTCAAGGTAAGAAAAGCCACGAATTTTTTTTAACTGGAAGTCCATCTACTGAATTACGAATCACTTACTTAAAAAAATCCCTTTTATTATTTCACTTTCATGTAGCATCCGTACCTCAAACAATAGTCAGGTTAATAAACTGACTCTAACAAGTGATGAATCAACATTAATAGAAGATGGTGGAGCTAGAAGTGATGGCTCATTGGAGGATGGCGATGATGTTCACCGAGCTGTAGATAATGAAAGGGATGGTGTCACTTACAGTTACTCCTTCTTTCACTTCATGCTTTTCCTGGCTTCACTTTATATCATGATGACCCTTACCAACTGGTACAGGTACTTAACATTTCATGAAAACTTTGGGTATGGAATTCCAATGGCTTTTTCCTTCTGTTGTAAAGCATAATGTGATGTAAAATACTTTTTATCCTCTAATATATTTCAAAATTTGTAGCTCAGTGAATAGTAAGACCAGCATGTGAAATGAAGACTTTGCTTCTTTAATAACAGAAACAGTAAAAACAATTCCAAATCTTGAAGGGTTAAAATAGAAAACCTTGTAAAACCAACACTTTACAGAAACCCATGTCAATTTAACGTGTTTATTTTTGTTTTTAGTACTGTAAACCTGTTCCTGATATACAGTAAAAGATACATTATTTCATTTTACTGTCATTAATTAAAAGATTTGTACATTTTTTATTTGGATTCTTACAATTCTTCAAAACTAATGCTTTTTAAATACATGTAAAACTAGTCATAAATCTTCTGGTAAGAAGAAAGTAGCAATTTATGGTATTTCATTTTATTCCAATTCTGGTTTTGTCTAAATGATTACTGAAAGGTTCTAGTGTTAACTAGAACCAATTAGACTATATTATTGTGGCATGTATGTTTTAAATCATAATACCGTTAAGTCATGTGTTTTAGTACCAGCAAAAGATAGAGAAAAATTATTTAGTTTTTCTTGTGAATAGCCTTCACTGATTATTTTATTGAAAAGTATTTTTTTTAATTCCTACATTATGTTAACCTATAGGAATCCAAGTAGTTTTCAGTAATTCAGAGTTTCTATATTTCATTAACACGAAAATCAGCTAAATATGGAATATATTTTCTTCCCAGTCTGTTGGATCTGACCATCCAGCTGGGGTGGGGGATGGGGTGGTAAGTTTGGAGAATTCCACATATACTCTGAACAGTCTTTTATGTCATAGTAACATTTTATTCACAGGTTTCATTCCCTTTCATGCAGGAAGTACATACTTGTTCAGAATTTTTTTCAAAACAGCTACATCAAAGCCCTAAATACTTTACTCCATTAAGGGAAATTACTGCTTTTTATCTTCACATTAGCTATTAAATCAGTGTGGAATGCAAAGCAGATTAGATGTAGCAACTACATGTGAATGTCACAAACCGTAAACAACAAATACTTCTGAATTAACGAGCTTAGTACGTGATGGTTAATAATCCAGCCCTCTTCCCCCTCTATCTTTTTTGTTCTCTCTCAATTTTAGGTATGAGCCCTCTCGTGAAATGAAAAGTCAGTGGACAGCTGTCTGGGTGAAAATCTCTTCCAGTTGGATTGGCATCGTGCTATATGTTTGGACACTAGTGGCACCACTTGTTCTTACAAATCGTGATTTTGACTAATGGACTTCTGGCATGAAAGTCCCACTTTGGTTATTGTCTATTTGAAATTAACAGTATTCCCAACTTTTGTAATGTTGTGTGTGCTCTCTGTGTAACTTCTGCCATGTGTTCTGGCATGAATTAGATCTTACTGCTTGTCATTTTATTCATTTTCTTGCTAAGTGCACTGATCATGTGAATTCGAATGAGTGGCAAAGGGACAGTTGTATGAGGATGGTGACAAGTTAGGAAAAGTGGAGATTGCTAGGCCTAATCCCTTTTAGATGTGAAGTAAAAGTAAAAGCAAAGTTGCTTTAGTTTGATTTGAACACTTAGTCCATAAGCTGTTTTTAGAAAGCATAAGAAAAACAAATGTATGGTTGCCTTTTGAAATATTTGGTATGTTGCCTTATGGGAGACTGCAAAGAACATGGCTATTCTAAAACTGCATAAATACTTTACTTGAATGCCGGTTGTTTCAAAAATGCAAGTAACTAAAATTTTGTCAGAATTTGTCCTTTTATGAATTAGTAGAGCTTACGCAGAACAGAGCCTTCAGCAGGAAAGTTCAGATTGTTGGTGTTAGGATTAATGGAATACTCAGTGAGACTGTAATCTTGATAGAAATGATTGGCCTTCCACCACAAGATGACACCTTGGTTTCGTCTTTAACAAACCATTAAGTTGTGGGTTTAATGGAGATAACTGGGAACTCTGAAGGATTTAGACAAGATTTTGAAAATGATAATCATGGATTAGATGGAACTTTTTGAAACTGAAAAAATTGTCCAAAGTGAGAACTTCGAACACGCAGAAGAAACTAAATAATACTAGCTTCAGTAGGTATTTAGATAAAATCTTGTTTAAAAATGAAGAAACTGAAGCACAGACTTAGGGCTCAAAAGCTAATATGTAAAATGGTATCTAAGTCTACAAAAATAGCTGACATCCTCGTCTGACATTTAAAGAAAAAATTCTATCAAAGTACATGCATAACTGATTATAACTTCATTAGTGATAGGGAAAAGTATCTATATGGTATGTATTGTTTGCTTGTTCAGCACCTTTCTATCCAGGCATTGCATGACTGTGTAGAATAAACTCTGCTTGCAGTTGACACCAACAGTTCAGATATTTAAAATGCTTTGTTTTACTCCTATGTTTAATTGAATAATGATAATTATAGTCTCAACCTAAAAACAATCAGTAGAAGTTCATTTAGATAGAAATTTAGTTATGTTGTATTAAGTGTCTATGCTGAAGCTTTTTAAAGACTACATTATTTGCTTAATATATTCACTAATGTAAATGCAATATCAATTCAGTTAATTCCCCAAGCCTTTATAGTCTGTGTTGATACTGTGTTCCACATTTTGAATGGCTGTGCTCTATCAAAATAAAGAATTCGGAGAAATTGTAGTAGTATGTTAATTCTTAACCAAATGAGTTTTAGCTGGATAAACTCAGGATTCCTTTTATCCTTGTAAAGAAGAAACTGCCTGGAGAAAATGGCCCATCTTCTATCCTGAATCATCAGTGTTCAGTACGTTTGGGGGGGGGGGGGTGGGGGGGGGGGGGGGGGGGGGGGGGTGGGGGGGGGGGTGGGGGGGCGGGGGGGGGGGGGGGGGGGGGGGGGGGGGGGGGGGGGGGGGGGGGGGGGGGGGGGGGGGGGGGGGGGGGGGGGGGGGAGGGGGGGTGGGGGGGGGGGGGGGGGGGGGGGGGGGGGGGGGGTGGGGGGGGGGGGGGGGGGGGGGGGGGGGGGGGGGGGGGGGGGGGGGGGGGGGGGTGGGGGGGGGGGGGGGGGGGGGGG